CAGGTGCTTCTTCACTTCAGTGTGGAAAAAAACAGCCTGTATCCATGTATCCACATGCTGTGTCCCCAAGATGTGTGCGAATTTCATTCTCTTTAACAGGGCTAATGCATCAAAATCCTTACAAATGGGATTTTGAAAACTGTTCGTAATATTAGAAATAGCACAATAAAGTGACATCCAAATTTGACTGTGCTGCCAAAGCAGCTTCTTATATGCACAGCATGTTTTGTAGTGTCCCAAAACACACTCAAAAAGCGGGGAGAATATCTGCAGTTCTTACCAATTAATATTTCTGCAGCATGTCTACCTATGCCATGCTATGCATACACACAATGGTCCAAAAATTAGTATATACCAACAAACAATCTCTAAGCAGCAACCAGCTACCTACAGCCGTAGCCAAATCCAGTCCAGATTCTCCCTCCCCTTCAGCCTTGCCCCAGCTCCTCCCGCCTTCACTCCCTTGCCCTGGCTTGGAGTGGCAGCAATGGGATCATGGCCTTTTGAGAAAGGGAAAACTCTAGGAAGGTGTCTCCCCTTCATCACCCACATCATGGCAGGGAAATGGAGGAAGAGACACCTATGTTGGTCGGAGGAATGCAGAACGCGGGAGCAGCTCAGAAATCCTCAATTGTTTTTACAGCACCCACTCACTCGGTGATCCCATTCCCGGGACGTACCCTGCCTGCTCTCCGCACCTTGCTTGATGGGCTGCTCTGCCCTGTCCTGGGACGAGTGCCCACACGGCATGGCACATAACAGCCTCTCTTGCTGTTCTGAGTCAGAACCTGGAACACTGTAATCACAGATCAACCAGTCCCTGCTTCCAGCATAGTTACGAATGGAGAAGTTTGGGGTCTCGCTCTTTTTTTTTTTCTGGTCCCTAATCAAAAGAACCTACTGCAGATTTAGCCATTACAAAATTGTGCCATGACATTTTTCACAGCCTGGAGAGGATCACTCAAGTCTTGGGCCCTGTCCCCACTGCCTGTGACAGGCCACAGGAGCTGGCTGGCAGCTCTTCGTGGAGATTCCTCCTCCTCGGGGCATGCTGACGTGGTGGTACGGGGCTGGTGCTGCAAGAGTGAATCACCACCTCTCGTAGGAGTGGTGCTCCCCAGGCAATGGCATGCCTGGGAACTGTACCCAGCCACTCCTTGCACTAGACAAACTTTGAAAGGAAAAGCAAACTGAGTTTATTTGACTAAACTGCTTAACAAATCAGCACCTGTTTCTTGGAGGAAGAAAGGAGGAATGAGTTAATAAGCCAAACAGTTTTGAGACAAAGTGACTTTTACCATTTTGACAGACCTTCAGGATTGTTTCCTGGTTCCCTCCAGGCAGCAAGCTCTCCTGTCCAGGTAGCCCTAAAGACAACTTACACAGCTGTCTGGAAGTGAGGTGCAACCGTTTAGATAAACTTCATCCTTTGGCTTTGCTTTCTTTGAGATGAGTATGAAATTGCAGTGAAGTTCCCCTTTTTATCCCACTCTCTGGATAGAGCTCTGCTCGGTGTAACTTCACCTTTATTGTCTTCTGAATCTCCATCCTCAGGTCTCAAGTTTTGATCCACCTATAGCCACAGTTGTCAAGGGATAGCCCTGGAGTGGCTCTCCTGGTTGGACAAACCCAGTCAGGCATAATACTGAGTCAGCTGCAAATAAATATCACAGCATAATGCAAATGTAAATGCCTCTCTTCTTGCCAAAAGTTAAGAAAAGTTTCATCACCTCCACAGACGTATGACCTTGCATTCATACCGTTTTAATAATATCTCACTCCAGAGCTATTCATTATACAAGCTGTAAGTGAGGACAATGAATGAAGCTCATTAGCAGTTTGATACAGGCTAGATATGATGGCAGACAAACAGCCATGGGGACAAAAGTGCATTTGAAGCAGATGACTCCTAAACTCAACATGCCGGGATGATGGACAGGACACTCTGGCTGTGCTGGCATTCTTGGTTGTTGCACTTTTGTTCCCTGCTGTTAAGCATGGCAAAGGAAAGCTTTCCCGAGTGTCTAGCTGACACTTCCTTAAAGCCTGTTCCACCCCAGGTGCACAAAGCAACCTCTGCTCCCAGGCAGCCAGATGGCTAGCTGCAATCCAGTCACTCTTTAATTAACTTCGGTGTTTTTTTTTTCCCTCTGTGGGTTGTTTCTGGGAGAAAGGGAGCTGACAGCATGTTTGTTTACACGAGATTGATATGGCCAGGCAGTTCCCTGGGTCTATACTAAGAATTTCAAAGTGTCTTTGGGTTTTGTTATCGCCGTAAAAGGAGCAGAAGCTGAAAATCCAAGAGGATTTCTAGGATGCATCTAAAGAAGTTCTGTAAGTATGCAGCTTTACTGCAAGTCATATGCAGATGGGCAGCACATGAAACAAAGCTGATGGGGGCAAACTAATCTGAGGCCTTGGTTACTGTGCACTGCTGAGCTGCTGCAGTGTATAATTAACTTTAAATGCAACTACAACAAACACTGACCTGTAAACAGCTCCTCTAAACCCTGTGGAGCTGCTTGCATGCATGAAGTTACACAACATCCATAAAGCAGCTGTTGGATGGCAGGTTCGAGACGTATCCCTCTGCACAGAAGAAAATGCCAACCAGCAGTATCACTTGATCAAGATTAAAAAGCAAAAGGGTGTAAAGAATCTGCATTAGGAGTTAGCAACTAAAATGTCCAGCTACAAAACTAACAGGTAGAAAGAGAAAAATATTTAAGTAACAGATCAAAAGTAAGTTTACTCTGCAATCCAGAGATGTGAAACAGCTTTTGCATTTGTTAACTAGCTACCCCTAGCAATCAAGCTGTGGCTGCACATACGTCATATTCTACTGAGACCCCAGCTAAATGCCAAGCAGGCTAAAAGGTGCCAATCTCCATCCTCCTACAGAGGTCAAAAGTGTGGTCTAGAAAAGAGCAAGGAGAAGGGAGAGTGGGGAAGCTGTATCAGCTCACCATGTCTGAACACACAGAGGGCAGAAAGGATGAGAGAGAAAGGAGACAGCCAAATAACAAAGGAAAAAGGATTAGGGAATATTTTTTTCCTTCGGAAGTAGCAAGTCTGGAAGGCACAAAGGCTGAAGGAGAGGTGATACATGAGAGAAGAGGTGAAGGACAGTAATTTTGAACCAGGATGGTCTTAAATGTAAAGGATGAAGGACATTGCCCGCATCTGTCACTGAACGGAGATCTCTCCAGATGAGGAACATTTTAAAAACTAAATCAAGCCATATTGCTTCTGACATCAGAGCATTTTGCAAAGAAAGGGACAAATGACGTACGTCTCTCGGGCTATAACTTCATTGCAGAGATAAGACAAGGGCAGAGCTGCTGCAAAAGCGTGCCTGGAAAATTGTAGAGGTGCATCCTGTTATTCTGCATCAGCGATTGCTTTTTTAATTATTATTTATCGAATCATATCCCAGCAGAGTCCTCCCCCTGCTGGCAAGTAAAAAAGTCGTAGCAATGATTTTTACAGTCACATCAATCTAAGGCTATAAATGAAATAAGGAGCGTCAGATAGAACCTATTTTTTATTAGGTCAACTGACAGAGCTGGGAAAAAAAAGAGACAATTTTGCAAAAACCAAATCCTTTTTCAGGACTTACATAGAAATATTTACTTTGAAGGCTGATACAACTTGAGAATAGTTGCCAAGTTCAATTTCATCATTAATTTATTAGACAATTTGCAAGAGAAGTAGAGGATAAAACCTGTTGAATAACTTTTAGTAGCTGAGCAGGTTAATTGTAATGTGCAATAATTCCATTATTTCCACTGAGTCCTTCTCTTTTAGTGCCCAATTGAGTTTTGGTGTCTAAAATCCCTTAAAGGCAGACTGGCCTGGAAAATAGAATCATAGAATCGTTATGGTTGGAGGAGACCTCAAAGATCATCAAGTCCAACCTTCTACCCAACGCCACCATGCCCACTAAACCCACTAAACCATGTCTCAAAGCACCACATCTAAACGTTTTTTGAACACCTCCAAGGATGGTGACTCCACCACCTCCCTGGGGAGCCTGTTCCAACACTTAACGACTCTTACAGTGAAGAAATTCTTCCTAAAAAATAGAATTCATAATGCTACTGAACAGTAAAAATGGACTCAGTAGACAGGTTGGGTTTATTGTATACAAGAACTTTCCCCAACTAATGTCCCAGATAGCTCTTCAAAAACTACCTGTAGAAAATGATCTCTCTCTGTTTGCTATGGGAAGTTATGGTAAGTGCCTTTTGGATAGGATTTTTTCCTTTAGATGACTAGTTTGGTGGATGAGGGGACAGCAGTAGGTGATGTTTATTTTGGCTTTACTAAGGCTTTTGACACTGTCTCCCATAGCATCCTCACAGACAGAGAGATGAAGTTAATAAATGGCCAATCAGGTGGACGGAAAACTGGCAGAACTGCTGGGCTGAAAGGGGCTCGTCAGTAGCGGAGTACCCCTGGGGTTGAGGGGTTCACACTTTAACATCTTCATTAACAACCTGGGTGAGGTGTCAATGGAGGACCACTCTGTCCTAGTGGGGATGGAGTCCACTCTTGGCAAACCGGCAAATGATACAAAACTGGGGAGAGTAGTTGACAACCAGACGGTTGTGCTGCCATTCAGAAGGACCTCAACAGCCTCAAGAAATGGGCGGAGAGGGTTGTCAGGAAGTTCAAGAAAGGGAAACGCAAAGCCTTTCACCTGGGGAGGAATAAGCTGTGCACCAGTACAGGCTGAGGGCAGACAGTCTGGAAAGCAGCTTTGCAGAAGAGGATGTGGGAGTCCAGGTGGAGAACAACTTGACCATGAGCCAGCAATGCGCCCTTGTGGCAAAGAAGGACAACAGCATCCTGTGCTACGTTAGGGAATGCGTTACCAGCAGGTCAGAGAGGTGATTTTTTTTCCCCTCTATTTTTCTTTTCAGTTCCAGTAAACGCTAGGTATTACCTGCCCTCAACAGTATAGGTAGTATAAGGATGGCTGAATTGTAATTACATGAAAAAACAACCGTTGTCTTTTAATTATAAAAAGGAGAAACCTTCTTCAGCTTTGACATTCAACATCAACAACCACTGCAATATAGACAGAAATACATTCCCCCATCCTTAAGAATGGAAAGCTCTGCCCTTTACCACAAAACACTGTCTGCATGCTTATGTTTAAAAAGGTTTTATTTTTCACTCTGGTACAAAAATACAGTACAATGTGATGGCAAGGCATTCGCCAAAAAACATTCAAAGAATAAAAGGGGAATCCCTGTAAAGCTTCAACATAACCCACCCTCACTTGATAAAACAATCCAAAGGTGAGTGCACAAGGAAAAAGTTAATTTCTGCCCAAAGGCAAATAAAGATGAATCACACACAGTTTTACACAAAAATATGTTTGCAGAGCTACTAATTTCACATGCTACTTGGACATTCATGAAATTTATTCTACTTGGCTTAGTGGCAGAATTCATGGTTTGGGATGTCTAGAAAACACCTGGCCCAGGAACATGCCCTGTTCATAGGAATCCCCAGTAAAAACAATGGGATCACATAATACCAGTGAGAAAAGAGGGATCCAACCCTGATTAAGCATCAAAATATTCGCTACTTCTAGTTATTCCAATCACACTGTTTGTCCTCAAATGTTTTGCCCTACATCCCTCCCTTTTAACACCAAATATTAGTGGTTGCTCAAACACACAAAGTGATGTGTTTGCACGTTACCTAGTTGCAAATAACCATTACAGTACAAACTGCCAGGCAGAGGAGGAGATAACACTGTAAGTGATGCATGTGTGTGAACTCCAAACAGGGTTTAACCTAACATTATTGACAGCAGAATTATGTCCCTTCAGTGCATCTACATTCTTGGTCTGTTTAATCATTTCCTTTTAGAGTTTTGAAGTGATGGAAAAGCGTCATTCAGTATATTCATTAGAGTTCATCTCCCAGGTGCTTTTGTTTGAAAGCATCACCTGTTAGCTTCTCCTGGGCCTCCTTCATCCCTTGGACAACTGAAAGATTAGTCAGAGAGATATAAACTATTAATCTCAAGATGAAAACATCAAGGTGGACTGGTAATGAAAGTGTTTTATAACAACACAGTTACAGAATGTAGATCTACAAATTAACCTGTGGAAAAAAAAACAGTCCTGCACCCTTTTCCCAGCTATTTGTAGTTGGATCATACAAATTGCATGATTTTCCATGCCACAACTGGAGGCAAAGTTTAGGTCCCATAGACACTGTAGTAGGTATTATGGTGAATAGTAATTCTGAATATGGTTCATCAGGGCCTAAGAGAAACACTCACTCACACTGTACCTTACAGCTTTACGCTGTAAAGTATCATCATTTTCCTCCACTCAAAAGTGAAGGCGTGTCCTTCACTGAGGACACGCCTAGAGTTTCATCTCACTAAAAATGCACTTCAAAGTACTTTCCACATACCTTGATCAGCATTGGTATAGAAATACTTGTAGCTGGGGTTTCCTTTCTCATTTATGATTTCTGGGTGGACTTTTCCACTGGGGTCTATGAAACAAGAAATCAAACACGAAATTTAGGTGGTAACAGTAAGGACACAGTCCTGTGAGTGGATACAGCAGCTGTGGATGCCTTACCCATGAAAAGGATTCTGGGAATGTAACCTCCATCAGGACTAAAGGCTTCATCCTTTGGCTCTTCATCATCCTACCAAAGCAAGACAGAAGAGAGAGAACACATTAGGAGGATATCTAACAAAACACAGGACACATTTTAAAGAAACAAGCTATAGCCTTCAGATTCCATTTACCCTGAGCAATTTACATCTTGAATAGACACTAGGTAACTGCAGTGTCTTCCACTCTCAAAAGAAAGGTAGGTATTTTTAGCTAACCAAGTATCATTTGTGAAAATAATTTTTTTTCTGTTCTGTCAATTTGCGTGAAACACTCCACTTTTGTGTATGAATGCTTGATATGTCAGGAGAGAATGAATATAAATTCCTTTATTGCAGCAACGGAATGACACAAGGTACAAATTGTTAAAGAGACAATGGCAGAGAGCCAGGTTTATAAACACAATTAAAATAACCAGACTGAAGAAAATTCTTTTTAAAACAATCAGCTGTATCAATCAATCAATCCTGCATACCTATTCAGGAGTGCAGGATTTAGGATGTACACAAAACAGGATGCAACCAGTTAAGCAAGATTCCAAATGCTTAATTACTAGACAGTAATATGGATACAAATCAAGAGGGCAGCCTACCTCAAGGTTGACCATAACAAAATTATGGGCAAGTTCAGAGATCTCCTTGGATTCAGCAAACTTTGGCTTTAAAGCTAATTGGGAGGGGGGGAGGAAACAAAAACAAACTGTGTAAAGACAGTGGAAAATATTTCAGGTTTTCAGGTCAGCATCAAAATTTCAACTTCATTCCTCCCTCTGGAGAGCTGGTAGTTTTCAATAAGCAGTGAGAAAAAGGAATATATGTATCAAACCATCCAAGCCAGGCTCAGAACAGCAGGTAACTGAAGCATTCCTGGCTGGGCAGCCATATGACGAAGCCTGGCCAACAAACATATGCAGTCGTATTTCAACCAATGGAACAGAAGCAAAAAGCTTGCTGTAAACCACTATTCTCACACAACCACTATTCTCACTCAACCGGCTCATTCTTTAAGCTTAGCCATTATGCCCAGCTTGTTTGTTTGCGATACTGAAAGAGACAAAGCCTCACCTTTGAAGAACCACCAGCTGAAACTAAGGCAATTTAGACTTAATTCTTGAAGATCATTCATTCTGTTCCATTTTTTATAGCCAAGTACAGGAGAAATTGCAGCCACTATGTAAGTGCAGTATTACAGCTGTTATCTTGCTGGCATTTAGGCATGGCTGGCTTTTGGTAGTGCTAACAGGTAAAGTGATGCAGTATTATACCGCTCTAAATGAAATACAAATACCGTTAGCTACATTTCAAATGCAAAGTTCACGTTTCTCATGGTTACATGATTTGTATACAAAAGTTCATTAGAAATTTCAGCAAGATCTAGTATTAAATACATTTACCTTTGCAAGCCCCACACCAAGACTTGTGGATGATAACCATAAGAGGCAAACCACTAAAAAAAGAAAGAAAATTGTCAAATAAAGTTTACAGTTCAGCCTCTAAACCAAATTCTATTACATGCACATTTTAACAGCCAAGGCTTCTAAAAAGGCTAAATGTAACAAAAAATGAGAGATACACAGATTCTGCTCTGTTCTAAGGTTGTCTTGCAAAATGTTTTCTCGACTTTAAAACATGTATAATAATAATGTGTTATAACTGCCAGCCAATAACTGCTCGTGTAGAGGAGAAGACTTTCTCTTTGGAAGATTTGCTCTTACTAGTTTAGATTTGCTCAGATACACAACTGGTCATGCATTTTTTTACTGGAAGTGGTTAGTGACACCAGCTGCTTGAGAGATCTCAGGATGGATTTTCATGACTGCTTAAGGCAATCCAGTGGATGACAGTCATACATCCATCCCTCTCCCCATTACAGTTTGTGTGTTTCAGTCACCCTCTGTGACTAAGACCCTCCATTAAGCAATAATCACACACAGTAACCTAGCAAACCCTCTGGCTGCCAGGCTAGCTTCCTACATGTTGGTATGCTGAAGAAAATCTGTGACCAATGTGACAAGTGCCAGGACTGAGAAAGAGAGGTGGCCTGCATGGAACTGCAGCCTAAATAAAGTGCAATGCAAAAGGACCAAAGTTATTCTTTGTTATTCTCTCTCTCTTCCCAAATAATTCACTTGACCTTTACTACCTATGCTACCCAGAAGTTAAGTTTCCGTCGCCCTGAGATATGTCTTATTTAACCCTGTTCTTCAAAAATCCCTTTAGCATTTCACCTTCTGACAAAGTCAAGCTTACCAAGTTGAATTTCTCTAAATCCCTGTGTATATTCAAGCTGTATTACACGATTAGACAGAGAGCCCTTAAAGACACTACAAATTTCACGTATCTCCTGCTGTTAATGCTGGTGTTTCTGACTATTTTGCGTCATTTTTACCTTTCTAACAAGAAAAGTGATACAATTGCAGGTGACTTTTGTTGCTATTGAGCACATCCAGGTAGTATAACACCTCCACGCTTTCTGCATGGGGAAGTCCTTACTAACACTCACTGTTTCTACCACCCAACAGCTGAACTGGTGAACGCTGACTAGGGCAATAAACTAAGAAAGACCAAGAACAAGGAATTGGGAATCTCACCCCTTTTCTTTTACCAACAAACCCCTTAAGCTATGGAATAATATCCAAGGGAAGCTGGTAATAATGATAGCTTCCACAACAGTAAGAACAGCCTAAAACTAGGAGAAGGAAGGAAGGAATCTAGAGAGAACATACTATACGGATACTTCTTTCAGGATATGCCAAGCAAAGCTAACTGTAAGCTTTCTGCTACTATAAACTCTGTTACCATATTAGGGGTTAAAAACAGAGTAAAATTTTCACACACAGAAATTACAAACACCTTTGCACATAACAGCAACTAAATTAATTACTAACAGAACTGATGTGTGAGTTTTTCTTCAGCTGTAGATAGATGTGAAAGGAAATCTCTACTTAGTACCATTCAGCTATGGCCTTCAGAACAAGGAAAGGGTGGAGAGGAAGCCACTAGCATTTAGAGTAGTTCAAACAGAAGTCTGCCATTTATAATTAACCAATATTTTATCATCTTTACATAGGACTCTGTTTACAGTAAGGAGCAAGAACACACAACTCCCTAGTAAAGCTTGTATTGCATCGGCGTCTTCTCCCTGATGACAAATAAACCATTTTTTTCATCATTTCCATAGAGTCTAACATGATTTTGCCTCTTTCCTGAGGAGAGGCTGATTTAAGTCTGGAAAATACACATTGTTCTTATCATCAAGGATCAGCAAGAACTCACAGAAGTTTGAGATACTGAACGTGTTTTCTCAGCTTTATTCTCTTTACTTTGACTGGTAAATCAAGCTTACTTACATCAAAACATTTTTGTAGTCATTTCTCAGTTCTGCAATGCATAAGTCCACCCAGCAGCCGGCATGTCAGATAAACAGCCACTGTAATTGAAGTAATTGAATTCCTGCCCTTCTTTACCATTTTCTCCCAGGTAGCATTACACATACAATTAAAACCAAAAGCTACAATTTATTAAACTGAGGGATGAAGCACCCACCAGAAAGTGAAAAGTTTATATAAGCTATATATGTGGTATAGCAATGACTGAAATTATTTGAAACTAAGCACAAAACTAAGTTATCCATCACAGCTGGTACAGACTTATGGGAGTTTCACCCAGAACAGACACTATCATTTTAGCCTCATTTTTCCTATGAGAGCACTCATTCTTAAACAGTTAGTGTTTTTAAAAGCATTTAATGACCTTGTAGAGAAAAGACATAGCAAGTTATTTCAATAAAAAAGTCCCGCAAGTAAATTAAGACCTTTCTCCATTTAAGGCACATATTTTATTGTTAAATCTGAAACAGAGGTTTGAGTTTGCTAAGCCAGCACCCTTCTGTAGTGCAGAGTTTGCAAGTCTATCTCTTGGGTTCAGTAGGATTTTTTTGAAACAGTCACATCCTAAAAACACAGCCTGTTCCATCTCTGGATCTGAAGTTTCTTCTGCAGTTTGATATTATCTGGAAATAGCCTTGGAAAAACGGTCTTCTTATTCAAGACATACACATGCCAATGAGAAGGGGAAAAGCTGTCCCTATGGTCACGACCTTTTGGGCTTTTGTGTTCAGACACTATTTGATTACTGGAGTTTATGTCTCCACAGGAGACTTCACTTGCTTGGGGATGCAACAGTACCTCTGTTTCGAGATAAAAGCTCTCTTTTTCAAAAGATGTAAGTGGGGAGAACGCAGGGGTCAGGGAACAGCATCCCTACAGATCCTCTTAGGAACACAGCTTGCTCAGCTGCTGCAGCAACACGGCATCCATCTTCCCAGAGCTGCTGTTGCCACATGATCTGATATGTGATAAGTGGGACCCAAACTCCACGGGGTCTGTGGCTGGAAGACATGTTGCAAGTACTTTGGGAGCGAACCACGGCCACTGCTGTCCGTGGCACAGGTGACATGGTTCACTGGATGCTGCGGCTCAGGTACTGCAGGAACATGCTGGCCAACTGGGGCAAGTTTTCGTCACTGGGCTGCATCTTGGTGTAGCTAATGAACTGTCTCCGCAGGCGACTCAGCTCGGCCATGCTCACAG